TTTTGCGATAAAAACTATTGATTTATTGATTTTTAGTTAAGAAATTCACATTGTTTCTAGGATGTTCATCCAATTCATTGATGATTATTGATAAAGCTAAGCTGTATACTAATAGCGTACATGGACTRAATTCATCAGGCGATCGTGTGGCAGAATTTTTGATTGGTAATAAAATATTATCTTTTTTATAGGCTTACAATTATTTTTTATAAAGGTACATTTTTCAAYAGTTTTATTTATAACTTATTTAAAATGCAACTATTGAACAAATTAAAAATATGGTTTAGCTCACAAACCGTACTTATTTAATAACTGATAAAAAAAGTTCAGGTTTTATAGGTTTTTTTTAAAAATTATCTAGCTTATATTAATAATTGTATACGATTAGAAAAATAACATGWATTTATTCGATAGATCCTGAAATCAGAGTACTCAATAATCTACCAACTTTGCCGTACACTGAATCTTTCATGGTTGCATCTTGTGATAATAATGGACAAAATTTATATGTTACCGACGCATATGGCACAATATCACATGTTTTAGTAAATATATTATTATTATATAGTTATTAAATAGATAACATTGCACTCTCTCACCGTTTAAAAAATAAAAGGTCCCYGATGGGTGTCTTCTTCTTGTGCAACTTAAAATCAACATTATTATCACCACATAGGTAGGTATCTACACTAATTGTATGTTATTATACTGCGTAGGGTATGTATATCTTTTGAACGATTAATAATAATAATATTTATTTTTTTTAAGTACTAACTAGGATTTATTGTTAAAATGATTATCAGATTAATGGTATTTATCATGTATTTAGGCTAGTGCTGTAGGAAGAAAAAGTGATCTGGTAACAAATTTTTTGATTAAAAATTATTCAACTGCCAACAAAAGTATTTTAGGAACCATAGAGTTTGCTTTGAAGACATTGTGCATAATCACTGAACCAGACGCTAAATTTATCGATGTTTCAGTTACAGCATTTAATAGACCATTCGAAGTACACTTTTTTAAATTCTTTTAAAGACTTAACCGTCGAATTATTATATTAAATTTGTTAATATTTTAGATGGTTGATAAAAACATAATCAGTCAATTTTTATCAAAAATTGAGTTGTCAAGAATAGTTAATGCTGCGGTAAAAATTGATGATATTATATAAAATGAAAACATTTTCTAAAATGTATGTTACTAAAATTAATTTGTATTGAAAAAATTATATAGTTATAAAGATTAATTTTTAAATTATTTTTTTAAGCTTGCTAAAAAATATTCTAATTTAAAAAATTGTCGAATTTTTTTTGTATCAAAATATACCTAAAATGAACTATTTTGTTATAATCATTATTCTTCTTTATTCATTTCTTTATTAACTTTGTTAAAAGTTAAAAGTTAAGGAAAATATTAATAGCATCTGTCTTATATTATACAGTTTCAAAATGGAAAATAATCTACATAGTTAATAATTGTATAAGTTAAGAACATTTTTAAAATAGAGGCATTGAGATAGGTTTCTCATAAATGTATACATTTAGCTATATATTACGTTATTGATCTAATTTTAGATATAATTAATACAAGTAACAAAAAGTAAAATACCTATATTAAACCTCCATAAACTATTGTTGAACAAAACACAATATACGTAGATGCAACCAGGAGGTTGAAAAATAATTGATGATTATAATTTGTGTATTATTATACTAAGATAATAAAACATAAAAATCTTTTTCACTAACTACAAATTTATAAATGAATCAAATTGTACATAATATNTTGTGGACTGTTGTAGGCATGATTTCAGTCCCGGTTTAGATGTTTTTTCTCCGATTTTGTAGTGTAGACTGTAGAGCACCTTTGGTTTTATTATTTAGGTTATTGTCGAAGTTTTTTTTATTGGTTACCTATGTTACACATGTTGATAGGTAAGGTAATCCCGTGTCATTGTATAGTAGCTTTTGTTTCGCACGAGCCAAAGGACTTKGAGTGCTATTTTAAGGAATTTGTTTTGGAGAATTTGTAATTTGTTATTTTCGTCACAAAAGCGGCAATTCATATTGGGTATGCGTAAGTTATGAGCGTACTCATTATTGATTTCTCCTGCGAGATTGAGTTGTAGTTCGATAGGATTTAAGATTTTCATCCTTGTATATTCTTGGTTTATTTTTATATTTATGTGAATTTTCAAAGTTTGTTTTTGTTTTAGATATATCTACTCTTAACTCCTAAGATTCTCTGAGCCATACATGTTTTTCCACTGGAATTCTCGGCTGTTAATTTGTAAAAAAGCTGGATTTCYTTATTTACTCATGATAAATATCTTAGCTTTACATTTGGTGGGATTTTGGGTACTTAAGTTTCCATCAACTCGAGTGCTACAGTCCGGCACCATATAATTATTCCAAAGATGAACTATCGAATAAAAAGTATGGCGAGTATATAATGTAATATAAATATTAAATTCATAATTTAACTAAAACAATATGCAATTCACATAATATAATCTATAATTAGTGTACGTATTTTATAGTGCCTACATCTATTATAATGCGTGTAAGATAATAAGTATGATGCATTATATAAACGTATAGATATATGGTATAGACTATATAGTACGTATAGTATTGAAAATATGTTTTTTGGCACACCTAGCATGTGAAATGTGTATAGTATAATGCCATAGTCGGTAAAAAAAACGATTTTGATTAAACAATTATAATAAGTAATATAATTTAAAAAATATTTTAATTTATGTTTAAGAAAATTTTAATATTAATGCATACAATTTTCTACACCCAACGACTTGTCATATTTAACGATTCATAAAAAKATGTAATTTGTGGAAATTAACGGTTTCGGATTAACACATGAAATTAATTAATGATTCCACTGAAATATAATTTCACTTCCTTTAATACATTATTGTATAAAGCTCAATTTCTTCGTATTTCA